CAACAATGAATGAATGGAAATCCAAAATCTCTGTAAATGTTCATTACAATTAATAAAATAAAATTTAAAGAAATTTTAAAAATAAATAATGAGCAATATAATAGTTACTTTAAATTCTTGGTTTTAGTATATTTGTATTATCTTATAGTAAGACACATTTTAGTGGCTCTGATACTTCTAGCTCTTTTCCTTCATCAATGTATTATAAGACCAAAAGAGAGAAAACAAGATTTTTTAAAAGAATGATTTACTTAAAAAAAAATTCTAGAGTGTTCTTCAAAGGCAAGGATGATGAACCTTCATCTCACATACTTAGGGCATCTTGCTAGGTGAGGCTATTCCTTGGAGAGGGACATCATGCTTGGTGAGATGGAAGGACAGCAAAGAGAGGGAAACCCTCAATCAGGTAGACTGATACAGTGACTGCAGTAATGGGCTTGAGAGTGTCTAAAATTGTGAGGATGGCACAGGATAGGACAGGGTTCAGATCTGCTGCTCATAGGGTCACTATGAGTCATACCCGACTCAACAGCACCTAATAACAGTATACAGAGTTTTATTCCTAGACTAGGAAGTTTGTGTTTAATAGATTTTGCAAAGTCACTTTTTTTTAAAACAGAGCTTTAAGACTTTCTATAGAATCTTGGAGAATTCTTCTGCTTAAGTTAGGACAGACTAGACAGTGGAATGACTAGACTAAACTCGCAGTTGTTTAGGCAAGAAGTAGGAGACTTGACTTAAAAGCTAGTTACATAAGGAAAATTTAAAGATGGCAAGCAGAAATTGATGGAGAAAATATCCAAGAAAAGCATAAAGGATAAAGTCAGAAGCCCTGATTTAGAGCTTTCCCTATGCAGTACTCAAGTATTCATTGTTCTTGAGAAGCCATAATAAATGAGCTTGTCTTTCTTCTCAAAAAAAAAAAAAATTCTTCGTTTTGATTTCATTTCCCAGGATTTCTGCTGGGAAATAGAGCTGGATTGGATAAATGTCTTCTTTTTTCTCCCACTTTCAGCCCATTCCTCAGGGACCTACTTGTGCCATTCTACTGTCCCCAATACTTCCACCTTAGGGGGAAAGCTCTGAAAAACATATTCTAAGATGCTCAGGTAGAGCATAGCTTAAGTTCCATTCTGTTTGATAAAAGAATTATAATCCAAAGAGGCAATCATCCAAAGGAATTTCTCAGTAATGATTACATTTGGGGCATTCAGATAAAATTGTTATTGTTGATATGTGCCATCGAGTCACCTGTGACTCATAGCAAGTCTAGATATAATAGCTCTTAACTCTGCTGTATCCTCAGTCAGTCTCACTGTCTCCAACACACCTACCCCCATTAACCCAGTTACTGTGTCAATCCATCTCATCTGGGGTCATCTTCTCCTGCACTGTCCCTCCACTCTTCCAAGCATGAAGTCCTTCTCCAGGGACTGGTCCCTCCTGGCCACATGCCCATAGTATGTGAGACAGAGCTTCAAAATCCTTGCCGCCAAGGAGTAGCCTCCAAGGTTTCACCCTCTCCAGGATAAACCTGTTTGTTCTTTTGGCAGTCTATGGTATATTCAATGCTCTTCTCTATCACCACAACTCAAAGGCATCAATTTTTCTGTCGTCTTTGGTCACTGTCCAGCTCTCTGATACATAGAAAGTAATTGCGAAGACCACGGTCTGAAGACCACAGGCATATCTTGGACTCCAGACTGACATTTTTGCTCTTCAGCACTTTTGAGAAGTCCGTGACAGCAACCTTCTCCAGAGCAAATAATCTTTTGATTTCTTGACTGCTGGTGCCAAAAGTGTTAATTGTGGAGCCTAGTAAGCTTAAATTGTTAACAACCTCAATCTCTTCTCCATCTATTATGGTACTGCCAATTGGCTCAGTGGTGAGAATCTTTGTCATCTTGATATTGAGCTTCAAACCATACTGAAGACTGCAGTCCTTGATTTTCTGCAGCAAATGCTTTAGACTCTCCTGAGTTCCTGCAAGCAAAACTGTGTCATCTGCATAACATAGGTTGTTGAGGAGTCTTCCTCCAAACCTGATGCCACATTCCTCCTCATAAAGTCCAGCCTTCTGAATTATTTGCTCCGCATATATACTGAAAAGGTACAGAGACAGGACACATCCCTGACACACTCCTTTCCTGATTTTTTTAATTACTTTTTTTTTCCAAAAAAAAGAGGCTCTTGCCTCTCAGACTACACTACGTTTACAATAGTTTCTTTTGCTTACTCCAAAAGCTAGTTCCTATATGCCCTTTACTACCAAGGTCAACCCAAATAAGAAATTCTTTCTCCCATAACAAATTTAACAGCTCTCTCATACTTCTGAGTAAGTCACTGAACAACTTACTAGTTTGGAAAGCAGTATTTGGGGATCTGATCACCAGCAAAACCAGCTTTAATCACACCGGATCCCTGAGGAGAGAAAGAGAGAGTTTATTACAAAAATAAGAGATTCTATAATAATAGAACAGTATCTGTGGAAAAAAAAATTAAAGAAAGATTTTTTCCTAGAAATTTGAGAATAGAAAACAGTGCATACACGCCAAATGGGAAAAAGATAGGCCTGGAGATGGTGGTGAGAACTTTGAACATAAATGCAAAGTACCCTTTGATTTTTCTGCATCCTTTGACTTTTCCTCATTTAACATGTTTAACTTTCAGGGTTAATGTTAATATTAAAAAAAACAGCAATAATGGGAAGGAAAAGTGATAAAATGTGGGAAAAGTGTTGTTGTTATGTATCGTCAAGTTGAATAAGATTCTTAGCAACCCTATGAACAACAGATCTGAATCTTGTTCTGTCCTGTGCCATGCTCACACTTCCTGACACACAAGAACCCACTGCGGCAGTCACTGTGTCAATTCCTCTGGTCGAGGGTCGTCTTCTTCTTTGGCAACCCTCAACCCTCCTGAGCATCATGTCCCTCTACAAAGAATAGCTTCTCCTAGCAACATGCTCAGAGGCCTCAAAACAGCCAATTTTAGGGAGGTGATCAAGGTAGGAACAAAGTGTGCTTCTTTCTTTCTGCCAGGCTAATAACCCATTTTCTCAGCTCTAGCTTGAACTCTCCCTGCCCTCCAGGCTCTAGGACTGAAGCTACCATGAGCATCTGACTCTGATGAAACATGTTGTCTGGGACTTACTCTAGGCACAGAGCTGTTCTATTAGCTGCTCTCAGATGATAAAAAGCAGAGAAGCTCTCCAACTTTGTCTGAGGGTAGGAGAAGAGACTAAGGTAGCAATTTTGATGCTTGAGTAATTGCTAAGTCTGGCTTCTCTCACCAGCACCTCTGATCAGGGCCCAGCCAAGTAAATAATGACTTTAGAAGCTGTGCAGGACAGATGTCAAGGCTACACATTGCCTGCAAGACACACCCTGTTCTCTACCTTTTTAATTCTCCAACTACCACACCTGATGTGCTGGCCTTTGTGTTCAATCTTGGTTTGTAGTTGCATGTGCAGCTGGGGCACCAAACCTTTTGACTACTTGTGTTGGAGCCAAGGGTGGTAATTCCAGAACCCACAAAGTGAGCTGTAAACACATCAGGAGATGTTAAATAGTCAAGGTCATCTCTGCTATAAAGATATCCCACAACACTCCTTATTCCCTCCTGGTATCTCTTATTCCTGCCCTTATTACAGAGGGAAAAATAGGACTCTAGTGCCTGACTCTAGCAAGACAGAGACTGTGGGAACAAAGTGAGGTGTTACTAAAAGATAAGTGGTATGGGGGAGAAGCAGAGCAGACCAGTTCAGTTCTCCAAGGGAGAAATAGAAGAGAGAGAAATCAGGAGATAATGTGCAAAGTCATTGTCCTGATCTGTACAGCAAAGAACTTCAAAAAAGGGCAGCTGTGCTGACCAGGTTCCTAGGCCCATGTTACTGAGAGCTGGCCAAATACTGGCTACCCACAGTGAGCATGTGGGGTGTGATGGGCTCTGTGGGGCTCATGTGGGCCACTGACTGGAGGCTGATACTGGACTAAGTGCTCTACGTCAATGGCACATCCAAGAAGGACAACTGATGGAGCTGCCCACTACCATTTCCTTTGGTAGATAGTGGTGCTGGCCCCTCCTACCTCAGCGCCCACATCTGGAATGGCTAGAGCCCTCAAGATGGACATTGGGAAATATCACAATGTGGCTTAAAGACTTTGTATGTTCCTGAAAATGGCTGTGATGTATTAATGGACAGAGCATTAAATTGTGTCTGAAACCTGCTTGCCCCTGGATGTCCATTGTGCTGGCCACTGTGACCTGGCTGCCCTTTCCACACCATGATTTTTCAAATCTAGAGTTTTGAGACAAAAAAAAATCCAGCTGGAAAGTAAAAGTAAAGTAAGCTGGAAGCCTGAGAAACAGGGAGAACTATAACTATCCTATTGCAAACACTACGGCTCTGGCACATCGGGATGGATGAGAAATGCAGTGAACATGAGAATTCTGGGAACTTGTCAACTCAGGACTCCAGGATTGCTCACTGCCTTCATCTGGGTGTGGTAACTCAGGTGGATTAACTGGATCTCCTGGCAGTGGTGGGAAACCAGAAAAGTAGAGATAAGTTCTATTTTTCTGATCCTAGATAATTTTAAGAGGTGCTTTTTCTAGTGATCTGATTTTCAGCTGGTTAGAAAAAGATCTAGATGGAGTCAGGGCTACAAGGAAGATTAAGATGCCAAACTCCTTTCTGTTTTCCTCAACAAGAGGGCTCAACAGGCCCAGTTCCAATATTACTACCTTCCTTCTGCAGAATAATCTCCAGTTGTAATTATTCTCTTCCTTCTATGTCACATTACCTGTACTATTAGGTAGCATGCATTTTATTCTGTATTATAATGCAAACACTCCCCCCTGCATTTTTGTCCAAGGTCCAAGTTCCTTGAGGTCAGAGATACCAGCAGTATGTGGTATTCACTGAGTACGCAACACAGGCTGGCTGACTAAAATGAAAATCCACTACAGTGACTGGCAGACAAAACTCAATGTATGGAACCTAAGAAGCAGCTGGAATGCCAGAAGCCCAAGGCAGAGGTGGTGCAGGAAAGGGAAAGGCAGTGTGGGGAGTGATGCACAAGGTGGAACCAGATACAGCTTGTCTCTACTGTCCCAGAGCTCGCCCACCAGGCTAGGACTAAGGTGAGAAATGGGTGGGAAGAGGGAAGGTGGCTGAGCTGCACCTATTCTGCTCAAGCCAAACCATGAGAGCAAACAAAAGGACCATGCCAATTTCTTGAATAGTATTATAATTAGGAACTGGGTACCTGGCAAATGAACTGCCAATCTTTTTGTTTTAAATAGGCAAAGGCAAATAAACAAATGCCTGTAGTAGGCTTCATGAAAAAGTGGTCTCCTTACATATTTGATTTTTAAAGCTTCAAGTTTGCGCCAGCCACCACTGACAGCTCTGTTGCAAGCAAAGAACAAAACCTCAACAAGGTACTCGAAATGCCTACTGGCTATGAAGCCTTGTGGATTGGGAAACTTTAATACTAAGTACCGCTGTCTAATCCTGCCCATGCTGGGAAGGAGGCTGGTTGTCTCCCATTTTAAAAGTGGGGGAAAGATGCCGACATGGATGTGTCTACAGATTCTAGGCCACAGAGTATTAACTGATTGGGCCCATTCTGGCCCAAAGACATTTTATTTGGCCCATATAATATTCCTTTCAAAACAGCTGTGTTGAGATATCATTCACATATAATACATTTTACCTATTCAAATATATACTTCATTGTTTTCAGTATAGTCAGAGTTTTTCAGCTCTTGCCATAACTTCAGAACTTTTTCATCACTTCCAAAAGAAACCCTTAAATAGTCACCTCTCAACCCCCCTACAAATCTCCCAGCCTTAGGCAAATAATGACCAGCTTTACCTCTCTAGACCATAAATACTTTTAAATTAACTCCCAACAGTTAAAAATTGAATATTGCAAGGGAGCTCTGGTGGCCTAATGGCAAGACGCTGCACTGCAATCCCAGAGGTGGTTGTTGTTATGTGCCGTCGAGTCGCCTGCGACTCATAGCGACCCTATGTACAACAGCCCTAAACTCCGCTCTGTCCTGTGCCAATCGCACTGTCTCTGACACTCCCATCCCAATTATCCCAGTCACTGAATCAATCCACCTCATAGAGGGCCTTCCTCTCCTGCGCCGTCCCTCCACCCTCCCAAGCATGATGTCCCTCTCTAAGGACCGGTCTCTCCTCACTACATGTCCGAAGTAAGTTAGACGGAGCCTCAGAATCCTTGCCTCCAAGGAGCCACCCGGTTTAACCCTCTCCAGGACAAATCTATTTGTTTTCCTAGCAGTCCATGGTATTCTCAGTACTCTTCTCCAGCACCACAGCTCAAAGGCATCAGTTCTCCTTCTATCCTCCTTGGTCATTGTCCAACTCTCTGATGCATAACAGGTGATTGTGAAGACCATGGCCTGTATCAGATGCACCTTAGTATCCAGAGAGACACCACTGCCCTTCAGCACTTTGGAGAGGTCCCTAACAGCAGACTTTCCCATGGCAATGCACCTTTTAATTTCCTGGCTGCTGGTGCCAAGACTGTTGACTATGGAGCCAAGCAAACTAAAGCTGTGTACAATCTCAATCTCTTCACCATCCATCCTGATGCTGCCGATGGAATGAGATCCCAGAGGTACGTGGTTCAAATCCACCAGATGCTCTACTGGAGAAGGAGGGGGCAATCTCCTCCTGTACCAGTCAGATCTGATTTGACGATACATGTAAAAATAATAAAAATAAAAAAATTTTTGAAAAATTGAATATTGCATATGAAAGCCAGTATTTTTCACTTTGCTAGAAAACTCAGAAGACCTGGAGACCTTGGGTCTGTGCTGCTCCAGCATGGGGACAAGTGACTTGGAATGAGAAGCAGTGGGCCACTGGGCCAGGCAAGCCCAAGTGCACCTACTAGAGTCCCCAAAGTGCTTTCAGGCTACCTCCTACTCTAATTTTCAAATTAATTTGTTTCTGTTTGGCTTCTGCAGATAGTGAACAGATATTAGGTATTCCAACAACTATTTAACAAATCTTTTCCCCTTGCAGTGTCTGTTTCTTCAGAACACCTAGCTTGGTACAAAGTACATCCTTAACTCTTAAAATATCTGTAAGTGAGGGAGTTTTGGTGGCCTAGTGGCAAGAAGCTGCACTGCAATCCTAGAAGTATGTGGTTCAAATCCACCAGATGCTCTGCTGGAGAAGGGGAGGCAATCTCCTTCTATACCAGTCAGATCAGATTTGATGGTATATACACAAAAATAAATAAAAAATCATAAGTGAGTGTGCAACTATTTCTATAAGTTACCTCCTCTTTACCCTTGTCACCAAGCCAATCAACTGCTTGAAAGTCACATTGCAAGTGACAGTGTTAAATAAATACACTGACTTCATTCCCTCAGCTAGTTCTAGTGTCCCTAAAACTGGAGTGAATCAGCATTAGCAAGAACTTAAAGAGCTAATGATGAACTGTAAAAAAAAAAAAAACCAAACTGAAAAAAGAACTAATTGTAAATGTCAGTGAAATTTGAACACTGTTGGACATTTGGTGTTATTAAGGGATGAGTAGTAATTTTATTTGATGAAATAGTATACTGATATTTTTCAGAGTGTGGGAGAGGAAAAATAAGTTGGTAGAAGCAACACAGTATCTTGAGGGAAAAGTGACACTCAGCTTACTGATGAACTTCTAAATATTGGATACTGCTACTGCACTTAGGATCACAGGGTCACAGAGAATGACCAGAACTTATTTTAGGATAGAACTCTAACTTTTACGATTTTAGCAAAGATTTCACCTTCAGAATACCCTCAGTATTCTGATCAAAGTGCTGCTCTCTTCCTGTGTTACTATCTATGATATGCTATTAGGAAGGAATTACTTACATTTTACATTCAGAAATACCTATCACTCTCTTGTTGCCAATAGAACATATACGTCAGCATGCATGCATATCTAAGTGTCCATTTTCCTCATTAATTCTGAATTAATTGGTTTGGTGCCAAAGAAGGATGAAGGAATAGTCACATTTACATTAAGACTGGAAAAGGCTGTGAATTGTGATGGGGTTCTTCCTCTTACCTCTTTGTTTCCTTTGTCCTTTCTTTAATGACACTGTCCTTAGTCCAGAAAAGAAATTTTAGCAACATTTTAAATTGCTGTTGTGCTTATATCTGGCAGTGACACATTATTCTCACAACATAAAAGTTGGCTCAAGTACTTTAAATTGTTTTCTACCTATCATCTTGAGAATTAAAACCAAAACCAAACTCATGTAAATGTCAAGCTGCAAGAACAACCTGAAGCCTCAAATCTACATATGTAGCAAATACTAAGGAAATTCTAATGGGAAGATGATTTTAGTTTCACCTACTTCACCTTCTGACAGAATTCCTGATATGATGAAGGAAACCAGCTCTTTAATCACCAAAACTGAAAATACACCATTGCTTTGATGTATTTCAGATACATTATCAAGAAAAAGGAGAAACAAAGAAGCTTTAGTTGGAGCAATTTTAAAGATATTGGCTGGAGAGAAATTTCTGCCTTGCCAATCAAGAAGCAAAGGATCTGCTAGTCTCCTTACCACAAGTCCACCGAAGGTCCATTAGGAGACTCCGAAGATCATTCTTTAATCCTACATCACACATTTAAGTACTAAACTTTCCCAGATATACAAACTTTCCTCTTTTGGCAAACAATGTTTCAATTTATGTTTTAAATGGAATTTTCTACCCCTGAAGAATTTTTCTTTCATGTATGTTCTCACTTTCTCTGGACTCAACATCCACTTGGTAACAGTAGTGCTGTTCCCTCAGCCTGGGATACTGAAAGTAGAGGGACAGCAAAGGAGAGAAAGTACCCCAATAAGAAGGATGGCCATGGCTGGGAAGGGGGTGCAGGCTCTGCAAAGCTGGTTCTGGTGATGGGATCACAATTAGTCAGAGCTGTCTAACTAGGAAAGCACCTAACAACAACAACAACTATGTGGGTTACTGTTCTGACCTAGGAAAATCCTCAATGTCATGGCCAAACTGAAATGTGAAAGCATTCCAACAGTTAAGAAC